TTACCAGTGTTTGACACCTCATTGGAATGAACATGAACATTGAACAGCTATCTTAATCTTAATTTATTCAATTTCGCACCTCTACCATTGGTATAAATTAGTTTACTTTTCGCACAAATATTTTTTAACTTGAAAATGGTGCCAGGATGACACCAAAACGTCGTTGCTCAGTTTTTTCGCTAATCTTTATTGTTAAAAAGGATGTCAAAAATAAAATAAAGTTTAAATTTGAAGGCCTGAGAAGATATCACAGAATAGATGATGAATTTTGCTGGCAACTAGCTACTTTAATTTTGCAACACGCCAAAGGGCCTCATGGAGGGAAACTTCCCAAAATGTTTGAATACATAGTATACCTTGGTGTGTGACAATGAACAGAAGCTCATCATGGACGGTTGCCTCGCCATACGTGGTGCTAGCTGGTTTCTGGCAGTCAAGTAGTGTGCTCAGCTAAAGGAAACAAAGAGGCAAATACATGTAAAATGCTTGTGTTTAGACGTTCCTGAAAACACCAGAAAACACAATTGATTTTGCTTCATTCTAGCAGTCGAAATGACACTGAAGGATGGCTTGACCCACATGATACCTCATTTTGTTAATGAAGATATAGCGAGAACACAACCAGAACATCCAACACTTTAATTTCAGTTGATAACTGCCCGCTGTCATTTTGTGTTCTCTTCCAAGTAATTGCCAAATTAAAGACTTATTTTAAGCATTTTTTAAGAAATTCAATGCTGCAAAAGGGGTCTGTGGAAAAAAGCCCTACCTGACCCTTGATCTCATATTGAATCATAGATTGAAGGAAGTGAAAAGTAATTGCAAGGAGAATCTTGCGGCCTATCAGTGATGTCACTTAGCTAGGGTCTTTTTCCACGCACCCCTTCAATTCTTTAAGTGGTTACAATCAGATCCCCAGGTACACTGGGTTACAGCATTTTTCTTCAGACTACATAATGTTACTTGCACAAGGATTGCACATCATCAATAAATGATAAAGGTTCCCAATTCTAGTACATGTACAGGTAATTTGGCACTCTTTTTGGACATCACACTTATTATGGGTGTGTCATTTTAATAAATGTAATGTTAACCACAGATGTCTTATTTCCATAATATATTTTTTTATCTTTTCTAAAGATCTTCTTTAAAGCTTTAATCCAACCCGATTGCATTTTTTTGCAGCCATTTGCAATGCTCTGAAGATTCCAAGGTTATTATAATAAGAACTACATAAACAAATTGCTTTTGAAAGTTAATAATTCCTAGCTCCAATTTTAAGTACAGGAACTGGACTACAATGCATCAGTCTTGAGCAACATTAATTATTCGTTTCTGATCAATAACACTTGTTTTGTACAAATAATAACATTTTTATTACCCAGCTCAATCAGTTGTACTGTCAGTAATGATTAATGTAAATACTTTCCATGCAAAAACAATGACACGCAAATTCAAGCTCCAATAGTAAACAAAACAACTCAAACAAAGTGCCCATTAACTTCTTTCTGATCCTACTTTAGATTTGAAAACCTTGCCTCAAATAAGTCTTAAAATAACTTCTTTCTGATCCTACTTTAGATTTGAAAACCTTGCCTCACATAAGTCTTAAAATAACTAAAAGAACTCCTAAATAATATTAAGATCTTGAATTTTTATACTGTTTAAATGCTTAACCAACAAGACACTCTAACTCAGAAGCAAATCAATATCAGACCCTCATATTGAACAGCAGCATAAAGACAAAGAAACAAAAGCGCTAATCCCCCTCACAAATTAATATGGTTGCTGGCATTCATTATAAGCTTGCTTATTTCCCCTGAGAGTTAATACTTTGTCAACATTTAATCAAAAGTTGAATATATATTCATAAAGGTTTCTAAGGCCCTCTGGCTTTGTTGACGATAAATTACAAATCAATTACCATGTGTCTTCAGAAAGGTGAGCAAACTTTTCAGTTTTCTCTTGAAAGCTGATCATTTGGGAAAACAGAATCTTGACTATTTGTACAGTATATAACTTGGCAGTTATGTCACTTTATGGCAAGCAGTTACTGAGAAAGAATCAAGCATCATTTAAAAGCTGGTTGTAAACGTCACAAACAGTAATACTGTATTACACACAGGAGAAACCTTAAGCTTGGAAAGTTTGAGAAAAGTAAACTTGTTTAATTAGAATCACAAGTTCTATATATATTTAACAATATTTCAATAACTTGTATAGTACAAGGCTTTTTCACCTTTCTGTGAAAATAGCACTCAAGTACAGAATGTATAGGTAGTTAACCATACCCAGGTCAACACCAGAGACTTATTAAGTTTAATAATAGAGTGCTAAAAGTCATTACTGAGATGAGAGACAGTCAACAAAATTCAGGGCTGCATCAACATATTAATGGTGGTAAAGACCCAAACTATCTTGTACGATCATGGGCATCCAGATTAGGAACAGTCACACAAGGACACAAGCTCCCAAAGTCAGACTATCGTAGCAAATGGCTTCGAAGATTAAATCATGTTGAACTGATGCAAAATGTTGAAGTGCAACAGACATTGAGAAATGTGATGAGTATACTAAGGGCTGGCGATGAGCTCATGCAAGATGCTGGCAGTGTTTATGAGTTTGCTGAGAGAAGAGGAATTAAAAAATGTCATGAAACTGTCTGCAAGATAAGGGCTGAGGGTGAGCTGAATAAATTGTCAAATCTGTCAACAAAGAATGAGGATGATTCAGAAATCAAAGCTTCACATCAAAGAGGAAACAACAGAAAAAATAACAAACAGAGAAAAAAATCCCTAGTCACTTCACTTGAGGACAATGCAAAGATCAACAGAGAGTTTATAAACGACACGACAATCACTCATCGTGATAATTTGGATGATATTTACGAGACATTTGCTCAAGAAGTTCCAGAGAACAACAAAAAGTTTACAAACAACACAACAATCACTCATTACGATAATTTGGATGATATTTACGAGATATTTGCTCAAGAAGTTCCAGAGAACAACAAAAAGTTTACAAACAACACAACAATCACTCATTGCAATAATTTGGATGACATTTACGAGACATTTACTCAAGAAGTTGCAGAGAACACAAATAACAACAACAATGAACCTTCCCTGAACCAAGCAGAAATAACTAACAACAACAACCATTCCATGAATCGATTGTCAGAAAACCACGGAGAGAGAAAAGCATTTTTGCCTCCAATTCAAGAAAAACTCACTTTTAACAAAGAAAGGAAAAAACAAAATGACCATTCTTTACCTACTCTAGATACCGAAAGTAAATTTAGCATCATAAAGAGAGCTCGAGAGCTTCGGAATGAACGTAGTGTGGCACAGGTTAAAAGCCAAAACCTGTCATTAATGTCTTCACAGCTACAAAGAAAGTACTCTAAGGCAAGGGAAGTATCACGCAAGATTGAGATTTTTGGAGACCACAGAAAAATCCTGGCTGAAGAATCAAAAACTGACAAGAATGAGACCACGCCTGCTACTTTGCCCTTGTTAGACAGCAAGTCTTTCAGCAACATTGACTGCAATGATTTTCTGAATCTAAAGAACCGACTTGATAGTCTCTCGCCAGCACCAGCTGTCTTGGATCACAAGTTACACTGGCCAACCAAGACTAAAGATACATTTAAATAGTATAAAACTCATGCCAAGTAATAAACCCCACAAACTCTGTAGTTATTCCCCAGAGCCTCATACTGAGGTCTATTGTTTTAGGCTGAATTTTAATATATCGAAATTGGTTTATTCACATGTTCTTGAAATGCACAGTGAGGACCCTTGCTTAGGCCTGCTCAATAGCAGTGTCTGCTTAATAAGGTTTAGTTCAACAGAAAATATTGTTAAAAACACTTGGGTCTTGCAAAGGCTGGTGTCAGCCTAATATGAGGTCCACTTAATACAAGTTTTACTTTAATCTCCTTAAGCAGACACCCATGAGACTCGACAGACACAGCATCTCTGTGGGTACTGTCACAACGATAAAAAAATACTTAGAGCATTTAATATGTATGCATGTGACCATGACTAAGTAAACATTTCCAGATCAATGTTAGAAGGCAGAAGTTCCCTTGTGAGCAAACATAAAAGTAAACAGTACTTTACAGACAATCATCGTTATAAAGCTCATATTAAGTTCCCTTAAAATATTAAATGATTAAATTTTGTGGGCATAGTTTTTGCCCTTCCAGCTGATATCAAATTTCCTCAAGTTGTGACAACTGGTAGCATGATAATTAAAGTTTTACAACTTTGCCAATTATCAGACTTTGGACGTTGGATCCAAATCAAGTGAGTGCACTATGCCACACTGTTGTGTCATTCATAATGCAATAATTAGTATCCTCAAATGTATGTAGATCAAGGGAAATTTCCCACTCCTTCACCTGTTTTGATCTCGCAAAGTGTCTTAAATATATGTAACTTTTGATAATCTCAAATCATGCGTGAAAGTCTACAATTTTAAAGGCCACCTAATTCAATTGTTCTTCAAATTCTCAGGGAAATATAGAAAGAGACTCTTACAAAATACTCTGATTACATGTTGTATGTATCATCATTTAATATTTCATGAAAACTCTCTTTCAATATTAATGATTTCCAAACTATAACAACATTAGCACATTAACACATGATCGAGAAAAAGACAAAACAATTATAAAGATTTTAAGCGTATTTTTGAGCTACATATTTATTCAATTCTATCATGTATTTCGAGCTTGACAATATAATGATGACATGGGGTCATCGAAACGTCGTTCACTTTTCATATCGCAAATTTTCATTCTAAAGAGCTTTACGAAACCTTTTATTATCAAGCATGTTAGATTATACAATTTATTACAACCCTGTAAGAATAATACTATAGTGCTGTAATTGTCTTTCTTTAGAAATCCTTTATATTAAAATACTCATTATGAACATAAAGGAAGAATCACAGCATAAGTTCCTTAATTAACAGTAATCTATTTTTAGTTCACTTCCTAATTCAATCCAACCGTTTAGATATTCACAGATCAATTTTCAAAACATGTACGTATGAGTTCACATTCTCCTCTGATCAACGTTGTTATCATAGTCCAGGCATAAATAATTCGTAGCAAAGGAGCGGGAGGACTCTATAATGAACACGCATTGATCAAGAAATTGCATTCCGAAAGCATGGCGTAATTTGAGATAGATCGCTAGATCAAATTTTGGATATCTTTGTTGACGTTGGACAAACTCAACTCTCTGTTATCACAAAACCTCTAATTGTTTATGGATACCATGAACTTCATCCTTCAACTAGAGATCTAGTAAAAAGGCATTCCCCTAACAAATAATTTCATCCGCAATGATCGAGGAAAAACTATAAGTTGACACTCTAGAGCAGCCCAACAAGTTCGAGATATGCTGTTGCAACAGCTTATGGACTTTACGTCATTAATGGCGAGAAACAGCATGGACTGGGAATTAAACTTACTCCAGGAGAGAGAAAAGTTATCTTAACAAACATACACTACAGCGTTTAATTTGCTTACACAACCAAAACTCAAACCTGTAGGTACTCTCCATAGTTCATCCGCTTCTCATCGCCAGGTCGCGAAACCGGTGCACTCGCCTCGCTGTAGAAACAAGATACGTCATTGACGTGTGAGACTGATAAACGCTTGTTCAAACATCAAGCAAAGTGAAGCTTCTTACCTGTCGTGAGCGTAAGGACAACTCATTTTTTTGCAGCAATTTGTCCAAATGTTAGGATGACAAAAACGTTTTACACCTGCTACAAAGCGCGCCACACATGCGACAGCCGTGACCGCGTTTCCACTACGGCTGATGGGGCCTCATCGAGTTGATAGCCGTGGGCGTCACAAGGGGCGTGACATATGCTCCAAATCAACACCCCGGACAAACCTAACAGGGCCTATTTCTGATGTCACGTAAGAGCTCCTTCCCCACTTTCTTCTCGATTGTCCTTCTTTTACAAGTGAATAAATTAAAGATCATATTTTTGAACCGCGGAGAAAGATATGAAGACATGATTGATCATCGCAGTTATATACACAGCTAGCCTACGCACGCAGACCTATTTGCGGCTGCCGCTTGTCTCCACCCCATGACCTCTGTGATGCCTCTGTGAGCCTGTTATTTTTTTTCCTTTGTTTGTTTTATTTTTTCAGGCTTTGATTTCACAGCTGCGTATATCTATAAAACTGCGATTATCCGTCATATCTTCATCAGATCTTTCTCCGCAGATCATAGCCTGCGAACAGGCTCTCGGTGAGCCCGACCGAAGCGAGGGAACTCCCCTGTCCCCGCTCCGATTGCTTCGCTCGCCGAAATTTTTTTCCGTCCTCGCCAGGAGCTTGTTCGCTGCGGCTACGAAGATCACAAAAATATGATCTTTTGTATATTTCATATATTCACTTGTATCTTCACCATCTATGGGTGTATAACGAATTCACAACGTGACCAGTTGATAGCTATTTGAAGATGTATCTGAATGAATGAATGAATGAATGAATGAATGAATGAATGAATGAATGAATGAAAGACTTTATCAGAAGTCTTTCATTCAAGTGTTAATTATAACTTTATAGCTCTAGTTTAAATTAGTTGGTTTGTAGCAACTGCGTATGGCTAATTTTCACGGAGAGTCGTTTCTTTTGTTTCAACCACTTTACAGTAGACTACGGTCCCTCTTTCGCTCAGTCCAGAGCGGCCGCGCGAACTCCTGGGGGCGACAAGCACGCGCGTCTCGCCTCCAGGATTTCACGCGGCCATTTAGTTACTTACGCTCAACGGACTAAGCGAAAGAGGTACTAATCGTAGTCTAGTTTACAGTAGTAACTGCTTTTCCTTGGCTTTACATATGATACTTTGATGAGGGTCTTTGATATTCAGCTCTATAAACTGAAACATGACCTTGTTTACACCTCTAGGTTGGGACTGTCCTCTTTACCCAAATGGAACTTGGCGGTTTGATGGGCATAACATTGTAATGTAGTTTTAGAGTGCAATTTTTATTATTAAAAGTGGTTATGCGCTCTTCACTCATGGCCAAACTTTATCTAGACAAATTGTTCTTCATTATTTCTGCCCTTCAAACTGAGCTACCGCTGAAAACAATGTTCATTTTTCAGTTGTACTACTTTAATTCTTGAGAAAATTCAGAGGAATAACAGAGACAACATAAAGATTATCATTTCAGATGACCTTGATCCTGTTGTTTGACCCGAGCTTCCGGCTTGACAGTTTCGCATGAGACCCGAGGGAACAGTAGGGATCTTCGCTTGAACTGTTATCATTTGAAAGTAAAGTTCTATTCCGAAATTTTTCAAGCGTGAGCTGCGTTGAGTAAACTCTAGACAACTAACAGCTGGTACGTTTAATGTACAGTTCACCAATGGATCTTTCTTTGAATCCAAAACTGATGATCGCTCTTTGCAATTTTTGTCGTAGTCAAAAATACAAAACCGCATGTTCTTTGGCGATAGCCCAAACTCGCGCTGAAGTCAAATTCGAAAGCTTCAAACCAATAAACAAGTTAAAGGCCTTTTCCTTTTTTAGACATGTCGCTAAGAATATTTAGTAATAAAAAAAAATAGAATGTTTCGTCTCAGACCTATAGGTTGATACTTGCCGTTGGAAATTTATCTCCCGAAAAAACTAGCATATGAGTTCTTAAACCTCTTTTTCTGGTTAATATTTTTTTTGATCCTGAAAGATAATATTTCTACAGGCAAACATCAGTCCATTTATCTGTTATAAAAACACTTTATTTTCTACAGAGCCGTTCAACTAAACCGACTGATATATTTCAAAAGTTAATTAATCCTACAGAAAACGCTAATGGCACAACCTCCTTCCGCAAGCTTGTAAAACACAGACCGACAATCTTGTTGCGGTTAAAAGGTATAGCTGTGCTTCGACACAAAAGCCGCAATAACTATCATAACGATTCAAGTTCAATTGGAACAGAAGTCAGATAAAGAGAGGCTGTTTTTGTATTATACACCGATTTCAAAGCATAATGATTTTTTTTGCTGCAATGACAAAGAGAATTAGTTCCCTTTTGAACAATTATCGTGGATTTTACACCTGCTTTGAAATTAATCGATCTGGAGCGACCTAAACAATTGATCAGATGGCAGGTGTTCCGAACAGTGACATGCAGTTAGTTAACGATCGCTATCACTTGGGTTTAGTCCAAAGAAAAAGAAACTCTGCACTTAACTGAATCAGATAGAACGCAGTTGTTTTTTAGCAGCAATGGATCACACACAAGATACAAGAAGTTTGCCAGCAGTCATCATACACACTATTATTCTTGTTAATACGTCACTTTTGTCCCTCACGGGTAACTCACTGGTCTGTATCGCTTTCTACCGAAACAGGAGAATAAGAACAATTACAAATTTCTACGTCTTGTCGCTCGCCGTAGCTGACCTCATGGTGGCAGTCTTGCTATTTCCGTTCGGCGCAGTCGCCTCTGGGTTTCGTAGATGGCCATTTAGTTTCAACTTCTGCCAATTTGCGGGCTTCCTTGCGGTGTACTGGGGTCAGGTTTCAACGTGCACTCTGGCTCTCACATCGATTAACCGATATTTTTGCGTTGTCAAGCCACAGAATTACTCCAAGTATTTCACAAGGAAGAAGACGATCTTATCCATTGTTATCGTATGGGTTTCTTTGCTCGTTCAGACGCTAAGTCTTTATACAATACCGGTCATATATCGGTGGGATTACGATAACTTATACTGCCGAGCAACGTTTCACGACGAGATGATAGAAAGATTGTTTTTTATCGTCTGTGGTTGCTTATTCACCGTTCCCATGGTACTAGTAATATTGGGCTATGGCAGAGTGTACTGTGCTGTCAGGCAACACAACACCGCTGTTTTTCCTTTTCTACAAGGATCAAACGTCCAACGAGGAACACACATTAGTGCTCAGGAGATTAAGGCAGCTCGAATACTTTTTGCAGCTTTGTTTGGATATTGTATTTGTTGGATTCCCTTTATCGTCATCTTAATTTTACAATTTGGGTTTCAGGTGTCTATCCCTCATTATGCAAAGCCGATATATCCATTGTTCTCTGCTATCTCTTCGTGGATTAATCCACTCATTTATGGATTTATGAATCGATCCATGCGCAAGGAGTTTCGAAACACATTGTTTTGCAAAAACGATTGATGACAAGGAAAGTATAACCCTGGAATCTTTACTGCAATACAGTTTTGAAAAGTTGTCTTGTCTTTCATCATGACTGATGTGCGAGAATTAGAATGCGCCAGAAAACAGGCAGAGAATAATCTAACAACACTGATAGTAAATTTTCTGACTTAAGTCACAACAAAATCATCAGAATAACATTATCTGATTTCACTTACACCTCACAAGTGAATAGTGCTCTTCGCGCGTTCTGATTGGTTAACTCGGAGACGATTAGTAAAGTACAACACACCTCCAAGCAGAGATGTTGAAATTTCCGTCCATTTGTCGTTTCATTGTCAAAAATAAAGTGTTTTTTAGGTCCGCTGGTTATTCAGCTTCTGTGGAATATACAAAAACAATTATTCACCTCAGTGTTAGTGACAGTGAAATTAAAGTAATGGATATTTACCAAGCGGCGAACCGGCTCGGTAAATATCCACTACTATTCACCTCCACTTCGGTGAATAATTGTCAAATATTTTCCGCATTCGTCCTGTTTGGTTCAAAACACTGAGTTCTCTTAGTTCGTCAAAAGTTTCAAAAAACCTGAGTTCTGCATTAAAATCTTTGAGTGAATAATGATGAAATTGAACTGGAAGCGATTAGCAATTGGGCGTAACCCTTCAAATACATCTGAACATACATTCAAGCGCAAAAAGGTTTTTTCATTGTAAGCTTTCCATTTGCGAAATACGGAAAATTGTGTAGATATTGTTAACTACTCTTAACGCGAAAAATGCGCAAAAATCCACGGACGTAGCCAAACAAATATTAAGAGAATATCTGAAAACTAAGACGATAAAACAAAAAACAGTGAAGGAAAGACAAAGGTTTCAGCAACGAAGGAAATCTCCAATTCGGTTTTTAGCTAGTGTAAATTGGTTTCACTCGCGCAGCTTAATGTATAAGCTATGTTTTAAGTTCTGTGCCATTTATTGTATCAGTAATAAGACAATTACTGAATTCGTTTTTTTCTCTTTTAATTTTCGTGTTAAATCTCCAAAATACACGTGTAGTCAAATATGAGGTCCTGGTTAGTGCATATCAGCCTCAGCGTTCAGCTTTATTTGACTGATATTATTTATCTCCCCCTGGATTATCCTGACTGCAAATCACGAAATACTCAAGCAAAAAAAAGAGTGACGACAAGACAAAGGTTTAAGCAACGAATGCAATTTCCATTGAGTGTTCAGACTAAGAAGTGGTTTCACTATTAAACAGCTAAATGCCGATATTAGGCCATAGTCTAAGTTCTTTGCAACAATCTATAATAAGACCGAATTAATTGTGTTAAACACAATTAATTCGGTTTTTCGTGTTATCCAAAAAGATGAAGTGTAAAACGAAGGTCTTAGTAAATGTTTGATATCAGCTTCAGCGTTCGGCGTTGGTTGATAACACTTACCTCACACTTGATTAGTAATGGTAATAGGACTGAGTGGAGTCCAATTCGGTCTGTTATCATAAGAGTGATAACAAAGTCGGACGACCGCGAAGCGGGAGTCCGATTTGTTTATCACGAGTATGATTACAGACCGAATTGGACGACACGAAGTCCTACTACCAATTAATCACAAAAATTACAATTTCCGAGAAAAGAAGAATAGCCAAGTTATGAAAGAAAGGGAAAATTTGCATTAAAATACTTACAAAGGAGATGTAAACATTCTAAGGCCACCGCGTCTCCTACCGGCAATTATGCGCCAAAAACACAAAAGCAAGCAAGCAAGCAAGCACGCAACCACAACTTTCTTCTTCTTCTTCCTGGGCGACTCATCTCCTTCAATTCTGAAGATTCTAGTGAGCGTATAACTAAAAAACTACAAATTAAAATAAGGCTAAAATGTTATAATAAAAACTAAATAATAATAATAATAATAGCAATAATGATGATAATAATAATAATAAAGTC